TCTACTAACAGTCAGCACCAAGTCAAAGAAGCTTCTGGGTCACTCCCCAAAATTCCTTGTCTGTCTTCCTTTAAAACCCATCTGCCATGTACTTTGACTTTTGCAGAATTGATGGAGGATTACGAACACTATATTAAAGAGGGGTTAGAGAAACCTGTGGAAGTCATCAGACACTACACAGGTCCTGGGGATCAGACTGTGAATCCTCAAAATGGTTTTGTGAGAAATAGAATTACTGAGGAGAGAGTGCAGGTATTGGCAAGTAGTAGCCAATCTGGAGACTCTGAGAGGGACAGTGATTCTTACAGTTCAAGGAGTTCTTCCCAGAGCAAAGGAAGTAAGTCATGCTTGGAAGGTTCTTCTGATACTCAGCTGAAAGACTTGGAATCTAGTCCTGTGGGTGGCCATATCTCTTTGGAACAACCTCTGAATGGAAATGACACCCCTCATCTAGTAGAGTATCAAGAATCACCTGAAATCAAAATAAAGACAAGGCATAAAGAGGGAGCTAACCATAACCAGAGAGCTAAGCAGAGCCAGAGAAGCCTTCCCAGGCGGTCTTCCTATCGATTGCAGACAGAACCCCAGGAAGATGGTTGGTATGACCGCCATAGGGAAACACATCCGAGTTTTTCTGACACCTATCAGGACTATGAGGAGTACTGGAGAGCTTACTACAGGGCGTGGCAGGAATACTATGCTTCTGCTTCTCAGTCGTATTATTGGAACGCTCAGAGGCATCCAAGCTGGATGGCAGCCTATCACATGAATACCATTTATCTACAAGAAATGATGCGTGGCAACCAGTGATTATAGGCTGTACGTCACGCCATCTGGGGATATCAACAAGTGATACCTTTGGATTGCCATCCTTGACCTGTAGTAGAGTGGCATATAGTGGCATTTTTGAGGAACTGGAGAAGTTCTGAGGCTTTCCACTGGGACACATCTAGTTTTCAGATTGTTTTGACCTAAATCAACCTGATTCAGGTCAGATGAATTATCTTCTTTAAAGAAACTTCCTGGATGAGATTCTTGAAAGAAAATTTGGGGGACATAGAGCCAAAGGTCCCAGGGTGCCATTTTCTATAAGCTGTTCCAAAAAGAAACACTTAAAAAGACTTATATACCACTGCTTGCTTAAAAGAAATAAAAACAGTTGAGATTTGAAAAATAATGCTAGTTTATGCCGTGGAGTTCTTTCCAAAAGTCTTGGGCTACATTTCCATAGAGGTGTGTTCTTGTAGAAATTTGTAGCATGGTAGAACAGAAAGCCCCCTCTCCTTTTAGGTTTAGGCAGGAAGGAATAAACATTGCTTCAGACTTTCCTGAAGGTCCTTGATTTGATGCTGTTTGCGTCCAGTAAAAATATTTATTACCAGTAAAAATAGAAACTTAGCCAAGTGTGTTGACATGTTTATTGTTCATCTTTTGAATATCTTTTGTCTTTATAATTGTGGAAGCTGTGGTTTTTTTTGTTTTGTTTTTTTTGCGGTACGCGGGCCTCTCACTGTTGTGGCCTCTCCAGTTGTGGAGCACAGGCTCCGGACGCACAGGCTCAGCGGCCACGGCTCTCGGGCCCAGCCGCTCTGCGGTATGTGGGATCTTCCCGGACCGGGGTACGAACGCCTGTCCCCTGCATCGGCAGGCGGACTCTCAACCACTGTGCCACCGGGCAAGTCCTGTCTGTGTTTTTGATGTGCATTAAATAGCTAAGGATCATCAGTAGTGGCTGTCTTGTTTTTGTTTCTCAGGAAAAGGAGCAGCTCTTAATCTTTGTTGATTTTTGGATCCTTTTATGAATCTGATGAAAACTATAGATTTGTCCCAGAAAATTTCTCATTCTGTAAACAAGAATTGTATATGTAATTTCACAGGGTTCATAGACCCTTTGAAGCCCATCTGTGGAACCCAGGTTAAGAACTGCTGTACTCTGCTGGTAGGCTGAGGGAAGTTTCTAGCGTTTTTCTGAGATGCTGTATCTGTAAATTATGATTTAGATAAATGTAATTGGAAGTTACATATTCTTTAATTTCTTCTCGGTAGCAGTTCTTTTGTGAATATACGATTGGTTCCCAAACTTCTCTGTGAACGGATTTGTGGTGAGAGAACCGAGTATGAATAGAGATACGTATTTACTTTTTAAAAGTGAAGGGAAGCTCTCCTTTCCTGTGTGCATACTTGTCTAGGCAATATAAACACTTTCCCCCACGGCTGTCAGCAAACATCCACAGCCATTGTCATTTACTATCTGACACTCACATAACACAGCCCTAAACTGTTTAACTTAGATTCCTGTCATTTGGGTTGGGCAATGATATGCTTTATTTACATGTATCAGTACTGTACATGTATTGCCAAGTTAGAGTGAATTAATTAACACTGTAAATAGCAAATCCATAATTAGGTCCAGAATGTCATTAAAAAGACTTTAATTACATGTTTAAATAAGATCTTGTCACTGCTATATAATTGAACTTTCCTCTTTTTTTTTTCTACCCTTTCCCCCACAATACAGCCAAGTTCACAGTTTTTCATTGCTAGGGAATTTTAATCAGGATACTCCTGCATCTTAATTAGAGATGAGGGTACCCATTAGTTTTGAAATTAATTGGATTCTCTTTTAGGATTGTCTTGTGATCGCTTTTTTTTTTTTTTAATAGAAGAATAAGCTGGAGGTAAGCATATACATAACATGAAAATAATAGTTTCATTTTTCATAAGCATTTGCCAGGAAAATTTCAGCAGTTACCTTCCCTAATAAGGGATGTAGTTATTGTGGCTGTGGAAGGAATCTGCTGGCATTTGTATGTTACTGTGTGTGGAATTTTAATTTGGAATTGTCATTCTAGGTGCATAACCCCTTAATCTTTTGGGGACTATAGATAGGTTTTAGGCAAACTCACTTGAGAATGTTGTGTAGTAGAAGGAGCAGTTGTCTTGGTTGACTCTTACTACCTATTTTTTACTTTGTACTAGTCATTTAACCTCTCGGGGTCCAATTTTCTCATCAATAAAAGGAGGCAGTTGGACTAGATTTTTAGGGTCCCTTCTAGTTTTAAGATTTAACTAATACATGACTAGTAAGAGAAGATAATTTCTAGTTAGAGAAAAGAATATTTTTATGAGTATAGAGAGCCTTTATACATTCACTTAATTTGGATGAGGGCTAGTGTGAATTGGTTTAATGTCTGAATTCTAGAATACTAAATACACTTATTACAGCTGTTCAAGTTAGGCTTTAACTTAAATTAGGCTAGCAGTATTAACATGCAGAGAAATGTTTGAGAAACCTGTTGCTTTGGATAATTCTGACTTAGAGGATACAAGTTATTTTGGGTAATTAAAAGTAATATTTTCTAAAGTAGCTTAAGTATTGTAATAATAATTGCTAACCTTTTAAACATAACCTAACCTTAAAAAAAAAAAAAGGTTTAAAGGTAAACTTCAGCCCCTGAATACTAAAAATAATTGAACAGAAATTATAGTAGTTACAGATCAACTCATGAGACAAGGGAGTAGTTTGAAGTTTTAGGGGGTTTTTTTTCTCCCCCAAATATAAATAAAGCTATGTTAATCTTAAAAGATAAAATTATATTTTTGATAGTCATAGCTGACATTGGAACTCTGACAAGGTTATTCTCTTATTTTGGCAGAATATGTTTATTGTTTTGTGCCGCTGTGAACAAGCACATATATCCCAGTTAACATTTAGTGCTTTTTAATGAAAAAGCACGTATTGCTCACCACATCTGGTTTCCAGTTACTTTGTTTTGCTCCAGATTATTTGAGCTGTGAATCTGTAGTGACACCTAGTGGGTGATAAGGATATGAACATTAGTGATTGAAATGAATTTCACAGCCAACTTCTAGGGCCTTCTGGCATCACGGATTGGCCTTAACCTTCCATTTCTATTTCAGTTTTCATTTATTGGGATCTGGTTGTGGGGAAATCAAAAGAATCCCCGTTGTTCTTGCCACATTACGGTGAAATATGAAAATGCCTTTTGCTATCACTACCTAAACCAGAATTATCAAGGTTAGAACAGATCTTCAGGATATCTAATCCAATCCCCTCATTTTTAAGAGGAGGAAGCAAACTGAAGCCAAGAGAGAAGAGACTGATGTGAAGCCATATAAGTAAGTGATAGAACCTAAGGGCCTCTGTCATCTGATTTCCAAGCTATCTGCTATACCCTGTATAGCATTTAATTTTGAGTTTTTAGTTTGAGACGTTGGTTTAGATGAAAGAGTGGATATTCAGTGTATTCTCAGCAGAACCAGTGCAGATTAAAAGCATATTTTCTTTCAGTAATACAGGGCTGTGTCTCAAAATAGAGCTGTTGGCAAATGCCAAGTGCTTTCCCTGTTAGTGAACATCCATGACTAAAGCATACAAGCAGGCAAGAACCATCTCAGATGTCATAGAGGAGTTGCTTGCATTGAGGGAGGGCGGGGAAGGGAAGATGAGACTAGACCTTAAGTACCCTTCTGAGATTCTGTGAGTCTTCTGGCAAGGAAGAAATTCTCTGTTCAAATATATGGAATCTTAAAAAAAAAAAAAAGGTACTGATAAACCTAGTGGCAGGGCAGGAATAAAGACAAACATAGAGAATGGACTTGAGGACACCGGGAGGAGGAAGGGGAAGCTGGGACGAAGTGAGAGAGTGGCATGGACAGATATACACTACCAAATGTAAAATAGATAGCTAGTGGGAAGCAGCCGCATAGCACAGGGAGATCAGCTCGGTGCTTTGTGACCACCTAGAAGGGTGCGATATGGAGGGTGGGAGGGAGACGCAAGAGGGAGGAGATATGGGGATATAGGTATATGTATAGCTGATTCACCTTGTTATACAGCAGAAACTAACACACCTCGTAAAAAAATTATACTCCAGTAAAGATGTTTAAAAAAAAAAAAACTTCCCCCAAAACAAAATTACCCTATTTTCTAATGTATAGCAGGAGAACTGGTATTAAAATAAACAATCGTAATCATGTTAGGGTTTGCAGCACATAGTTTGTTTAATCCAGATTGGATACATCAGGTACAGCAGTGGCACATGACTCAATACCGTAAATGATATACATTTTAACATATGCACTACAGTTTCAAAAGAAGACGACAGGAAACTCAAGAGTTTTTTTTTCCCCATAGAAAGTTTTCACATGTTTATCTTCCTGCAGTTTTGTACAGTATTTCTTCTTTGCCATTGTGATGTTGGTAAGCAAAGCCCGTTTATTATATGAAAATAGAAAAGAACACACTTGATGTTTTTCACGATAACATTAATGGGGGAGGGTGACCTCTAAGGAAAACATTACATTGGAATGTCTGATTATCAAAAATATACCATCCCTCCCACCACCCAGGTTTGTAAAATAGTCTGTTGGTCCAAGGAGCCCCCCCCAGGACTTGGGTCAGTGCCCTACACTGGTTAGTGTGACATTATCCAGTGTAGTTAAGTAACCTGCTAAGATAAATTCATTCCCACACTTGATGAGAAAAACATAGAACATTCTGAGTAGAAAACAAGACTCAAAAGGAACCCCTTTAAAGCTGTTTCTTTTTCTGATCCACTTTCTCTTAGTTCTAATGATGCTCCTCATGATGCTCTTTGGGCTCCGAGGGTGATGGGTCATAACAACGCTTTTCCTTCAATCATTTTAAAGCGTTGCAAATGCTGAGATTTCATAAGGACATCAGAAAGGGAAAATAAAAGTCTTTTTGGTTCCTGTTTGTCATGGTTACCATGCCAACTAGATTAGAAGGGAAACAAATATTGCCTTAGATTAACAGCATTAGGATCTTTTTGCCTTGTAGTTACCTGGTAATTGAAATGAGGGAACCTGGATCACTAGAATTCATTAATAACCTAAACATCTAGGTTTAGATAAATTTCAACCACTACTTCTGCAAAGTTAAAAAAAAAAAAACAAAGATAAGGAAAAAAATCTAGGTACATCTTTCAATGTACTTTCCCTGCCAATATTCTAACAAGTAACATGATCCCGAACTGCAGGAATCATAGTTTGAAAACTGGGTAAAGTCCTCAACATATCCACAAGTTGACTTTTTTGTTAATTGTCGATCAGCATTAACTATCCACTTTAATTTCTGTTCAAATTATTTTTCTTAATTTCACTTTTCTACTTGCTGACTTCATACTCCTGTATGACTGTAGACTCATGTGTTCAGCTATCATTGAGACTATCTAGTCTTTTGAACAGGATTCTATGCAGTTAGTCTTGAGCTCGACACTAGTTACGAAAAGAGGGGATGAAGGAGAAATAGTACAGAGTTTGCTTCTGGAGGTCCTGGTTCAGGGTGGTTTTGAGTATAATGCTTCCTCTCCCTAATCACCAGCCTTGAAATCCAGATATTAAAATATATAAGCAATCCTCAGAGTAATGCTACACGATGTAGAGGAAAAGGTCCCGGGACAAGATGTCTAAGCCCTGGATTGCAAACATAGTTCTGCCACTAGCTTGCCGTGTGAACTTGAATGTCACTCAGCTTCTTTCTGCCTGTTTTCTTCTCTGTGAATCAAGGATTTAGGTACTTGATCTACTACGACCAGAGGTTGTGGAAAGGATTAAAAGGACTATAGAAAGTATGCTTCAAAATGTTGTCCTAGCCCGCTCTTCGAGGAGAGACAGCATTTGACTGAAAAAACCTGACTATTCACCTACTCACCTATTTTTGACAGAATTGATAGTCCATAGCTAGTTGTATTTAGTGGATGGTGGTTTCCAAAGTGTGGTCTGGATTAGTACAGTCAGTGGTTTCCAAGGGCTGTGTCCAAGTAATAATTGACATTCGCATAAGGCTACGTCTCTAGATATAACAAGTAATCTCTGATGGGTCTTCTCTAAAGCATCGTTGCTCTGAGAGGCAGTGGGTGTAGGGAAAAGCATTAGACTAATAGCCAAGGGACTTGGGTTCTGGTCCCAGTCCTGTCATTAAATAACTGCATGACCTTGAGTAGGTCACTTAATTTCTCTGGGCCTCAGCCTTCTATACTGTAAAATGACTTAGATATTCTTTAATCTCTTCTAGTTCTGATTCACTCTATTCCATGTTTTCTAAGTTTCCATTCATTTCAATATAGCTTATTGGTTGGTTGGTTGGGTGGTTTTTAACCCTCCCTAATGTTGAGTAGGATTGAATGGGATAGGTAGTTTTGTAAATCTATTATGCTGAAGTTGTTCATGAACTATGAAAGCTCGAGTCATTTCACCAGAAAGCCATTGCCCCCTGAAAACCCTGATAATATCCTGGTTCTTCAGTCCCTGGCCAATGAGTTAGACATTCAACTGATTTGGCACACTTTGGACCTTCTTTTTACTCACAAATGCCCTTTAGCAGTGTAGTCTTGCTCTATTCTGTTGTGTAGATGAGCCATTTTCTTGTGTGAACAGGGTCTCTCATCTTTGGCTAAGGCTACATTGGGGGATGGAGATGAAGGGGTTAGTCTAATAATGGTGGTTTAGGAACTGGCGTAATGTGGGATTTGGAAATGAAATTGAAGAAATACAAAACATTCAGTTCATTAGGGTCAAAAAAGTGGGAAATTATTTGGGACATGATTTTTTTAAATTTCATTAATTTTTGTGAGAACCACTAGTAAGCTCCCCTGGTGCACTACCAAACAGGTCCTGGGTTGGAGCAGTCATTATTCTAACTCTGTGATGACCTGTTCTTAAACACAGGCAGTTCGTATGTGTGTGTAACCATGTTCCTATTTACCTCTTTATCCTTTACCCCATTCGGTTCCTATGATATATACTTAGAAACTTAAACCTTGTTTAACTTTGTTCCATTACCCATTCTTTCAAAAGAAAAATTCCTTTTCTAGTCCTTTGCCTGCCCTCTAAATGGAGTCCAGGCCAGTCCTCTGCCTTCCCTAATGAGATATGTGGATGACGTGAATGGGATTAAGTATGAAAGTGTGTTTAGGTTGTTGTGTGTTTGTGTGTACACACGTATTCCTCTGTAATTGTAAAGCTTTTTGCCTACTTACACCATAAGCTCAGAGGGCCAGACCACCTCTTTCTCGGGTTAGGGGGAAATCCTTGAGGCCAAGACCCAGAGAAGGGATGCAGTCAATGGTCAGTGAGGATAGCGTAAAGGAGAAGGCTCCATCTCCTCTGCCCTTCTGCTCACCTTCTGGTTAGGTGCCACCTCACATCCCTTTGACTTTCTCCTTCTACAGGGTCAGTAGAGTTGGGGTCATAGGGAAGCCCGTTGAAGGTGTTTTTAGGTTCCCAGCTAGTGAAACTCTTCTGGATGGCTGAGGTGGGCAGAAAAATTCTTGGCCTAGCATTAAACAGCTAACCACTAAGCTGTTGAATGGATAAAGAGTTCCCAAGGAGCTCCTGTGTCTCAGAGTCCAGGCTAGAGAGACTGCAATAGGGTAGTTGGAGATTGGGGAAGGCGGAAAGGGCCTGGTCACTAACCCCGAGGCCCACCTGCTCTGCTAAAAGCAGTGAAAATTGATTGGATTCTGGAAATGCTGTTCCCAGCCCCATCAGGATGCAAACCACTTGCACAGAAATGTGTCCAGGTTTTCCAAAAATAATATTCACTTCCTCACTTGCAGGGAGGTGATCAGGCTTCTCCCCCATTTCAGTTATCTTCGGGGACAACAGGCCTGAAGACTCTTCAGATCTCAAGGCATCATTCAGACCAGATAAGAATCATCTATAATCTCTTACTTGATTTCACTCTTTGGAGCATCCTTCGTGAGGCACACAGGCTTAACCTTCCGCAGCCTCCGTGGGAGTTGCCTCAGGTGTGAGATAAGTCAGAAGGTTGGTCCCCGTACTGCTGCCTTCTCTGCGGGAAACTGCTCCTGGGGCTTCTTGTCAGAGCTCTGGATGGGCTTTACGGTGGGTCCTGAAAGAAGGGTACAGAGCAAGGTGCCACAGGGGCTGACTGCAGCTGGGAGCCCTGGGTTCTTCTCTTCTCTCTTCACTGGCACACACTGGCATTGCCTGTGCCTCTCAGGTGCTAGCGATTTCCTTTTCCAAGGTCCCAGTGAGATAAATGTGGTCATTCCCTTTCTTCCCCAGAAATGGAAACTTCAACACCAGTGGTTCCAACCGCAAGGGAAGCACTCTGTTCTTTAAGGTGGACTTCCCTCATCCCTAAATGCCCATTTTTGCTTTATTCTTTTCTCTTCCACCACTGCATTCATGTCCTTGGCACGAGTCTGCAGGTGCTTGGCAGTGGAGAAGGCTTTACTAACATGTCTCGGTATCACTGGGGTCCATGTGGAGACAGATGGCTGGACACAGAGAAAAACAGCCAGGGGGTGAAGCAGAGAGGTACAGAGACAAAGGAGACAGGGGCAGACAGAGGGTGAGTGTTGCTGTGTGGTCACGTGGCAGCTCTGTGCAGGTCAGCTGGGCAGTGGGGCCCAGGCTCAGTCGACCTCACCTACCTGGGGGAACGAAGAGAGAACTCAGCAGTAACTGACTTCTTAGCCTAAAAGCTTTTGCTATAAAAGGAGAAAAAAAAAAAAAAAACCCCTCACAAAATGCATTGTTTTGGTTCAAAGGTATTGGGTCCATGGAGAAAAACATTTCACAAAACTCCGTTGGTGTTTTTGTTTTCCACCTTTTCCCATGAATAAATATTATCCATTAAGAGCCTTGAAAAAGGTGCTTAAATACACAGTGTTATATTTTCTTCCTGTTTTGCATGTGACAACTCGGCCTCTGTGCTGCTCTTGGTCTTGTATTTTCCTCACTGGGGTCTCCAGAAACAATGGTTATTTGGTCTGAGGCTCCCCACTCCGGGCCCTGTCCTGGCTCGCAGCTTATACCCGCACAGTCCCATCCCTACCCGCCCCGCCCTCCCTTTCCTCTGGCCCCTGTGAGATGCAGTGGCACAGGGTTATGTCCACGCTAGTAGCAGTGAACCTCAGGTGCCCCTTTGCTGCCTCTTTCTCCTTCCAGGCACAGATTTCAGTGTTGGGGGTGCAACAGGGTGGGCAGAAATAGTGGGGGAGGGGGAGGGAGTGGTCACAGTGGCCACCCACCAACATGCCAGCCCCCTTCACTCCCACCACCCGCACTGGCCCTCTGTCCAGTGGTTTTACAAGGCGGAGACCTTGACAACATTGCTGGCTACGGCAGGAACGTTCGTGTTGGAGCCTGGGCTGGCAGGGGGTGGCCGACCTTCCCCCTCTGGGGTTAGCGCTGGGGGAGTAGGAATGCTGATGATGGCTGTGGTGATCTGGGATGTTTTGCAGTTTGGTCTCAGTCCGTCGTCTGCTTTCAAATTAAGGCTGGAACGACTGGGATAAAAAAAGAGTGAGTTGATGATGGTTCGTCTTGTTAGTGTCCCAAAGCTTCCTTGACCCTCTACCTGTCTAGCTCACAGTAACTGGGAGGTGATTTGGGTGTCCCTCCATCTCTGCTTTTGGTAATCGGCCTGTAATTATCCATTCTGATTATTATTCCTAAACTACCCCGAATTGTAAAAGTCATGGGTACTGGGCTTTGGAATTCAGAGTATACGTTTTTCCCTCCAGTGGATTTTTTTCCCATCACTTGTGGCATTTGATTTTGGTTTCCCTGAATTCCTTGCCACTCATTGGAGGTAGTGGGAAGTGGCCTACATATAAGTAGAGAGTCAGTCTGTGATTCAAAATCAGCCTGGGATAAGCCGAAATTTCGTATAATTTCACAATTGTGAAAATTATTGTCTTGAGAAGACAGTCCATTCTTTGCACTAGGGTAGGTCATTTATGGATTTTTGTTGTTGTTCTTATTTTTTCTGGTATCTAACCCCACATTGGGCCTACACCTGCTATAGTATCCTCCAAGGCATGTGAGAGGCCTTTGGGTTAACTTGCAAGGATGAGAAGGAAGGTGGGGGGAGGAAGGTGAGGTGAGGGACTCATGCATTAGATAAGGAGGAGGGAAGGCTGAGGACCCCCAGGGGTCTCCTAATGCTGAGAGCCTTTCACTCTGTGAAGGGAGCGTCGCAAGCCTTAGGGAGTGATGGAGATGGGAGCCACCCACCTGGTAGTGAGGGAGGGCTGCTCGCTGCCCTGGATGTGGATCGTGCTGAGCTCTTGCATGCTGCGCAGGCGTGTGGCCGGCAGGTTGGAATTGGGCAGGTGTGTGGTTTTCTTACTACGACGGGAGCAGCAGGTGGTCGTGAGGCCCGGGTGGCTGGACAGTGAGGGACTCCGTGTGGATGGGTAGTTCTGCATTGAACTCTCCATGCAGTTCTGCTCAAACATCTGTTCATCTATAAACTCGTGGTTCTGTGGGAAGCAGAGGGAGAAGAGGTAGGAGAAGGAGATAGGAGGAGGGGTGGGGGGGATAAGCCCTCGTACCCTGTATAGCTGCCTGTCTCTGTTCTGGGCCTTGGGAGAAGGGCTCCCAGCTGCCTGGAGCACAGATAAGCATTCAGGACATGGGGGATATCCCACAGGCATCGAAGGAAGGAGGAGATTCCCATTGACAGCCCTGGTCATCAGACTGGAGGGCGGAGGCTGCGGTTGTGAAATCATGATGTGACATTCACTTCATCTACAGCTTTGGCTGAAGGGATATGGAGGACATGGAGGGACTTAGTGGCATCCTCAGAGCTAGAAGCAAAGACTTGACGGACTTTGCAGGCTTTGACAGGATCTTCTGGTGGCGGGGGGCAGGGAGCGGCAGGTAAGGAGTCACTAACAATGGGTAGTGGGTACGCTGGGTCGTCTTTTCTGGATTTACTGGGTGAGATCCTTATGAATCCTGGGCAAGTGTGAGACATAAGCTTTTAAAGGCACTGGATTATTCACAGTATTGGGAGAGCCTTGCTCTTGAAGGCCAATGCGGTCACACACTCAGGGCTATGATTGCTTTTGAGTACTGGGTTTTTTCCACCTGGTTATGGGGTATGGCTCCTTAATATACCTAAAGGCACAGGATTCCCTAAGTCAAGTGTAAGCATGGGAAGGGGATGCTAACAGACTCCTGATGGAGGCCACCAGGATGGGGTGGAGTGGAGCCCAGGATAACGAACATATGGCTGTTTAGCCAAGGTGACTAAACATCTATGCCATGAATGGTCTGGCCAAGGCTGCCAGAGTGAGGAGAAAGTCTGAGGAGAAGTATCATGAGAACAGAGTTCAGAGAGAGACCAGCCCTGACAGCCAATACCAGGAGTCCCCATAGAGCTGGGCGGGTGGCACAGACAGATGTGGTACATGGACACTCACAAGGTACCAACATTGGTTCCATGTTCCACCACCCCTCCAAGCCCCTGGGGAGGTCCAAAAAGGGAATCAGAAAGGCACAAAAAAACTGGAAGCCTGAGCTGGTACTGGGTGTGACAGCAGAGGTAGGATAAGCCCAGGAAGAATCAACAGCTCATGCAGAGAACCAGATCGGGGGTAAGAAGAGGAGACTCCACAGACTCAGGAGAATCAGAGAGAAAACATCAATTGAAATTTTAAAAAGTTATACCTTGATGGTGGAGGTTCGTACAGATAACAGGGGATCATCCACAAGATAGGACAACCCCTACAGGACAACATGCCAACAGAAGATAAAAACACCATTGATTGTACATTCCAGCATTCCCAGGCTCAGTTTTGACATTCGATCTCTCAATCCCAGCATTCCACCCTTCCAGTCCAACATTCCATCCCTTGCTTCCAGCATTCTTCCCCCTTTGTCCCAACATTCCATCCCTTGAGTCCAACATTCCTTGCCTAAAATGCAGCATTCCATCTCTTTAATCCCAATATCCCCACAATCCGACATTCTTTCCTTCAAATTCAGCATTCCACCCCTTCAATGCCAACATTCCATCTCTTCAAACCCAAATATTTTCACCCATATCCTTTCAACTTACACATTCCACCCAGCACATGCAACTTGGAAAGGGCAGTTGGGTCCAGGCCTATTTCTTTGGCAAGCTCTGAGTCTTTGAGAGAAATTCTAGATACACCTGTATGGTTCTTGACACTAAGAAACATTGGCTAAGTCCTGGAAACTAGGGTTTTCAGAGTACCTTCCCACATTGGAAGCCCTCACTGGGTTCAGCTGCCATCTACAGCGTCCACAGCTGTCCATACTAAGAGTCACCTAACATCTACTTCCCCCACATTTGGGAGGCCAGGATATGGAACACTGAGAATTAGAAAGTTCCTTCCTTAGTGTGCTGAGCCCTGACCATAGGCTTTTTGGGGAAGGAGGTCCTCGAAAAGAACAAGAAGGAGTTTCTCTTTGTCTCTCTTTGGTTGTCCAGCCTAACTTCTCCTCCCTCCCTACTATTCCTAACACTTTTTGCCAAGGCTCCAGGGTTGACCCACTGCCCTTCCTTTTAGTCTGTTGGTGAGGCACAAGCATCATTCCACATTCCAGCTGGGGCACCCTAAGCCATGACTCATTTTTAGCAATCAGCCTTTCAGAATCTGAATTCCCTGGGAATTGCAGGGTGACTGAGATGGTGTGGTACTGGTAAAATCCGTGGCTAGAGAAATATATGCACTGCTTCGTTCATTCACTCTCTCCTGTTCCAAGTGGAATGGAAGGAGAAAAGGGACCCACAGATTGCATCAACCTAGCCCCAGGGATAGGACAAAAACTGACATTCTTCTCTGCTGTCCTGTAGTAACCTAGTATAAATTCAGCCCTAGCTCTGAAGAGGGGTGCTCATCAGAGCTGAGAAACTGATAGGCAGAGCCCTTAGGCCTCAGTAACTAAGAAAGGGCTGTGAGGACGGATGTAGGGTGTGTGTGGAAAGACTGGGGGAATGGCCTCCTCTGTGCTGCAGGCCTCCTGATCCCGGTGGCTTTGCCCCACTCCTTGGGGTCTTCCTCCTGAGGGCTGATAGAGACCTCATTGCTACTCTTTGGATCTAAGGGGACAAATTTTGACTTCTGAAGCCTAGGGTGAGAACGTGAGGACAGAGTTCTCACTCTGTAAGTTCTGACCTCAGAAAAGGGTCAGGGGTCAGGGATGAGAAGGGAGGTGGCACTGGGCTGGGACTCACAGTGGTTTTCTCCAGGCAGTGCAGCAGGTGGTGGTGCTGGCTCTCGATGAGTGAGGTGGTCTTGCCCATGTGCTCCTCTTCCGGGGTGCCCTAGGAGGAAAAGAGGAGAGGCTGAGTATAAAGCTGCTGGCTCTCCTTCTCTCCATCTCCTTCATCTCTCCACAGGAGGGAGGGGGGGACTGGAAAAATCTGGATGAACCAAATTTGAGGGTCACCCTAGACCATGCTAGCCTTTGGCTGGGAGCCCTTGAGCTAAAGGGGGTTTAGGGGTGATGATGAGAACCCTATGGAAGACGTATGTGGAGGGTGGCTGCTACCTGGGGAAACTTTGGGTCTTTGGGGTGGGAGTGCTGATGCCCCCAGGAAGAAAAAGCAAGCCCGTCCTCCCCTCCATCTCCCCAACCCAAGTCCCCCAGGCACCTACCATCAGCTCCAGTGCCTCGTTGAGGAGTCCGTTGCGCTTGCTGTGCAGGTAGGCATTGGAGCTCCCTGTTTTGGCCACACGGATCCTGGCAAGGCGGGCCTTCTGTGATTGGCAGAGAGAATAAAAGAGTGAGTGAGACTGAGAGACAAAAAGACAGTGAGCCTGGCCAAGCCAGCGACAGTGGGCTGTCCCAGCAAGGTTGGGTTCCCAGGTGATGTCTGTTGAAGGGGAGGAAGCTGCTTCTTCCCCGCCGCAGAGACTTCTGTTTATAGACCTGGGACTGGGTCAGAGAGGCTGTGACCCCCCTGTACAGAGTGAGCATGGTCATGGTCAGAGTGCCTAGGGGTTTCCACTTGTCTCTCCAGCCTGGGTGTGATCCTGACCAGGGAAATATCACTCATCAAATTCCTCCCTCCTTCCTCAAATTTCATGACCTTTATCCATTCAGTATTGCATTGGGGTATTTCTCATCTCAGACTGCAAGTTCTTTAAAGAAGCCCATGTTATAGCTCTCCTGATTCTCTCCTAGGGTCCAGTGCAATTCCCTGCATACAGCAGGTGCCCAAATACCAGTTAATTATAAGAAAAGCAAGGAGTGTGTATAGGTGCCCCTCAACTCCTTCCCCTCTTTCTATTTTTTCCTTAGCATTCGTTACTAAGGTAGTATATGTTTTACATATTTATCTCGCTATTGTCTCTCTTTCCCCACAGGAATGTAAACTCCTTGAGGGCAGCGGTTTTTGTTTTGTTCACTGATATATCCCCAGTGCTTGATAACTTGTAAATCAATAGAAGAATTTACAATTGCATGTCTGTCTTTGGGATGTGCCTATACGTGTATATTTTGCTGTGCATGTCTGTGGGAACGAGTGTAGGTGCACGTGCGTGTGACAAGGGGCCCAATGTGGGTGTGAGAGAGGAGAGGATGGAGCGCATTTCCATACAACACCCTGGCTTTAGCTGCGGTGACTGAGAATCTCCCAGCTCCATCCTTGGAAGCCTTCGGCAGTATCCTGTGCAAGGGTCGCGTGGTACCTCAACCACGCAAACTCATCTCTCTTGCTTGCAGAGGCAGTGGGAGAGGCCGGACACACTGCACAGGCTAACTTCTCTTCTCCTTCCTAATAACCATAATCAGTGTCACTATGACAGCAGCACAGCCACAGTGTGAGGCCTAAGAGGAAAGAGGCTCTGGGAGGGAGGGAGAAGGGACGGGTAGAGGGCTTCCTGCTGGTTTAAAAAAAATGCAGCTTCACTTTTGGGCTCTTGTGGATCTAGACCCAGCTGCAGGAAGAAGAGCCCACAAGGCCTCACAAACCTATTCTGGGGCAGAGGGGTCCTTCCTTCTGCCTCTGGGAAAATACACATTTAACTTCAGCATGGACTCTGAACAGAGGGGTCCTTGGAAAATTGTGGCAATTTTCACTTCTTGTGACCTTCTCCCCAGCATGGGGAAGTGTCCCCTCCAAGTGTCCTACTGGGCTGGCTCATCTGCTAAAAGGAGGCCAGGGACTTGGATTTAGGCTGTCAACAGAAGCACAAAGAACACACGATAGCTGTTGTTCCCTGGGAAGTCCCCCTGTGACCACTGTGTCCTTGCAGGAACAATTCAATGACTTCCCCTGGTTTCTAAATATGGCAAAAAGGTCAGCACTTGAGCCTAGAAGATCTGCCTGTAAAACTGAGGAAGAACGATCTTTACTCTCCTCTAGACAGAGAATAAAAAGAGGAAGCAGGGAGAGAAAGGATGGTAAGTAAGCCCTACCATTCCTCTTCTCTCTGAGCAAAGAACATGCATTCCAGGTGCAGGACAGTTCTCGTTCCTGGGGATCCCGCTCCAGCCCTCCCCTCAGCTCAATGTCTACATTCAAGCAAGTTCTTCATCATTTGAGGATGTGGCTACTATTGCTTTGGGTGAGCACTGGGTGTTGAGAGCTGCGTATGGAAATCCAGTTGTGTCAAGCTCATTTTAGCCTTATATAATTTGATTGCACCACTTACAGCCAGACCATTCTTGTATCTGGGGTCTGTCTTCATTACTTTCTAGAGATGAAAGATTTTCCTGCTCTCCTTTGTGGCACTCCTTTTAATCTTATCTTACCCTGGGCGCTATTAAAGCAACAGATTGTCATAACAAATGCACTATATCGTTTAATCATTTCCCACACAGGATAAAGAGGTTTGCAATATATTTATAGAACCATACCCAGCATATGTAATTTGGTGAGGACTTTTGGCTTGACTTTGAGCCCCTGAGGGCCAGAGCCTGTGACTTATGCATATTTTTATCTTCAGCACCTAGCACAGAGCTTCGCACTGAGTATTTGCTCAAGCAAGGCTTGTGATGGCCCAGAAAGGAAGATGATCCTACACAGTCGGTCAGAAATCCATGTTAATAAAGCCGTTGTGATGGGCTCAGTCCTTGTGTGCACTGGTCAGCCTCCTTCTCTTCCATGAACATGAGTACAGTGTAAGAGTTCGGAGAATGTAGGGATCATCTAGGCTATTTTACAGACGAGGAAATGGAGGATGTGAGAGGAAGTGACTTGTCCAGGGCAAGGTTTCAGCTCAGGTCTTCCAACCTCCCGACGCTGCTTCCATAACACCCCCTCCTCCTTCCCTGAATTTCAACTCCACTCAGACAAGTTTTCAACTCGATGAGCAAAGCCCAGAAAGTCGCATTTTCAACAGCTGTAGACATTCCAGGGCTGGAGGAGAGGTTTGGATGGAGGATTCTGCCACCCTGGGCACAGTTCCAAGTTCAGGCTAATAAGCTCAAGAACTCTGTCAGCCCCGAGAAGGGTTTCACGATGAAGCACTTCCTAGCTATCTGGCTGGCAGGTGCCCTTGGACCATGAGTATTGACATCTCTGCCCTGGGAGAGGCAGAAGAAGGAAAAAGAGGGAGAAATGGAAAAGCCAAAAGAGAACATGGGCAATTGCACTCTTAGGCATTTATCCCCGAGAAATGAAAACTTATGTTCACACAAAAACCTGCACATGGCTGTTAACAGCAACTTTATTTATAATGACCCGATGTCCCTCAACAGGCAAACTGTTAACCATAACTGGGATACATCCATACCAGGGAATACTGCTCAGCAAGGAAAAGGAATGGACTACTGACACACATGACTTAGATGAATCTCCAGGAATTACATGAAATGAAAAAAGCCAATCTCCAAAGGTTGCCTACTGTATAAGACCATTGATATACCATTAAAAAAAAAAAAAACGTTTTTATAAAGGGAGGACAGATAACTAGTTGCCAGAGGTTAGAGACGGGTAGACATAGAGTGAGGGGGGTGTGGTTATAAAAGATATAGTGGGAGGGGCCCTTATGGTGTTGGAACTGTGCAGTACCTTGACTGAGATGGGGGATGTGAACCTGCATAGGTGATAAAACTGTATAAAACTTCACACACACACACACACACACACACACACACACACACACACACGGGTACAAGTAAAACTGGGGAAGTCTGAATAGGATTGGTGGATTGCAGCAATGTCCCTACGCTGGATATGAAATTTTATAACTACATGTGAATCTACAATTATTCCAATGAAAATTTCCATTAAAAACGTTCCCCCTCTCTGTCCACTGCTAGACCTCCTTACTTGATCTCCAGCTCACTTGGCTTAGAAAACCCAGTCTCTGCAGCAAAGAGTCGTGGAATTAATCCCAAGCCAATCAGTCACGATGGGAAAGGATGACAACTTTTGGAGTCTTTCCTCTCCACCTGAGGCACATGGGCTGGAGCTTACCTTCGCAGCTCCTGAGTATGTGGTCTGGGCTGAGAACTGTCATCAGCACCCCTAACCCCCTTCCTGTCCCATCTCTCCATTCCCCACGAAGTTCCCCAACCTGCCTTCCTTGCCTCGCTGTGACAGACCCAGTGCAGGAAGCAGGCAGTATTCTTGTGTTCTTTTTCTTTTCCTCTCACAGGAAGCCTAAGGTGAAAAGAGGCAGAACTGAGCCTACTGTGAGGAGAGACAGTATCAAGAGGAGGTGAAAACATTGCAAATATTTACTCTGATTTCAAGGAAGAGCAAAGAGGGAGAGGGAGAAGGGTGGGAAAGGAGGCAGAAGGCGGGGAGTCTCATCCTGAGGGGCTAGAGGGAGGAAGAAGCCTAAGCTGATTCCTTCTGGATCTTAATCACACAGGATGAGCTTTGTAAAGTTCTGCAGAGAAATGGTCCCTCTCGTATTCTTTGCAGGGGCAAAACGACAGCAGATGCGATGCTCTAAGAAGTAGGTAAGGGTGTGAGCCCGGAGGGGAAGGGAGCACAGGAGTGGCTGAAGCACAGTTTGAGTGGGACTGTTGTGGGTTAGTGTGTGAGCTGAGGATACCTTGGATCCCCACTGCTCTACAAAAACCCTGTGTCATGTCATGGCTGTTGTAAATAGAGCTACAATGAACATTGTGGTGGTTTTCTCCGGGTATATGCCCAGTAGTGGGATTGCTGGGTCATATGGTAGTTCTACTTTTAGTTTTTTAAGGAACCTCCATACTGTTCTCCATAGTGGCTGTATCAATTTACATTCCCACCCACAGTGCAAGAGGGTTCCCTTTTCTCCACACCCTCTCCAGAGTGAAGTAAGTCAGAAAGAGAAAAACAAATACCGTATGCTAACACATATATATGGAATCTGACAGGAATAAAGATGCAGACGTAGAGAATGGACTTGAGGACACGGGGAGGGGGAAGGGTAAGCTGGGATGAAGTGAGAGAGTGGCATGGACATATATATACTGCCAAATGTAAAATAGATAGCTAGTGGGAAGCAGCCGCATAGCACAGGGAGATCAGCTCGGTGCTTTGTGACCACTTAGAGGGGTGTGATAGGGAGGGTGGGAGGGAGGGAGACACAAGAGGGAGAGGATATGGGGATATATGTATACGGATAGCTGATTCACTTTGTTATACAGCAGAAACTAACACACTATCGTAAAGCAATTATACTCCAATAGAGATGTTAAAAAAAACCCCAAAACCAAAACAAACCCTGTATCAGCCTTTGCCCAGTGCTGGGGGGTTGGGGGAGGGGGAGGTTGAGGTTGCTATAGGACCCTTGACCCTTCAGGGCTTTAGGCT